TGGCGACATGCGGACTCCGCGTAGTTGCCTCAACATATGAGCCGGGTCGCCCATCAAATAGTCTATGTTGGCCCAGCCCTCAGTCGTTAACGTATGTCTCTTATGATGAAGCCTTGGTGTAGAATCATGGTCACTATAGTAGACCTCTTCTAGCATGGGTACTTGCTGGCCTACCGAGCTTAGATCGAGCGTAGGTGGCCTATTAGGTGGGTTCACGGTTGGCTGCCCAGCGGCTTCTTGTATCTTCCTGTGAGTGAACGCAGGTTTCTCAGCCTCTATTCGGGCAGCGAGTACCTCTCGTAGCTCATTCATGTACTTCGGTTGCATCAACAACTGGTTGTAGTTGATTAGCCGTTCTATATCTAATGCCGTACATACTTGGCCCCAAATCTTCGGAGCTATCTTATCTAAGGTTCGACAGAAACCTAACGTTCGTGCATCGTCCAGACAGAAACCTATCTAACCCCGAAAACCGAATCAAGCAAATTCCGACAAGCAAGCACGAACAAAAAGGCTGGTCCAAGAAGCACAGGCTCCTCAGTTCTGGGTTCCGCAGACATAGTCCTAGGCTGACTAGTGGCTGCCAGGGGTTGCATTTTGTGACTGGTGACGCTCAGCGCGGGCTCGGTCTTGTCTATCCAACTCAGCAATTCTGTCCTTCACGGACTGGGTCCCCTCAGGCAGAATCTCATTGCCGCCACCGTTTCGCCTGCCGTCTTCCGTTCCCTCCTTGCCAAGATGGTTGATGACGCCGGCCGCCGCGCCTCCTAAAAAGTGACATCCGGGTAGGTACAGTGTGTGTGCGCCACACTGTGTGCGCCACACTGCGTGCGCGTGTCACTTTGCGTGCGCGTGCGTGAGCTTGCCTGCGGTGGCCCCGGTGGCTGCGGCTACTGTGGTGCCGAGGGCGCCGACTCCGAGGACGCCGGCGCTTTGGAGTGCAGAGAAGGCACCGGTAGTGGCGCCGCCGTAGAATGCGGACTGTGTGGCGGCTGCGAGCGAACCGGCTGCGACGCCGCCCGCGGTGAAGCCGAGGCCCGCGAGGACCAGCGGCGTGGCGGCGACTGCCAGGCCGGCGCCTCCTACGACGAGTGCAACCGTCTTCCACATGGGCTCGTCCTTCATCGCGGGATCGCTAACGGAAATTACAACCTTTTTTTCCCTCCTCCCCTTCTGAGCTCGTTGTGTCTCCGGACGGCTCACCGGGGCAGGGCTATTATTGCAATGAAGTTTTTCGGGGCTTACTCCGGTAATCGTGGTTCGGGTTGTTCTCTGGGCAAGTGGGGTGCGGTGGCTCGTGTGACGATGCCTTTTTGCGTGAATGGTGAGTGGGTGGACATGATAAAGGCCTTTGAGTGGCTTACCCCCGAAGATTGCCCGCAAGGCGAGGCAAGCAACTTGCTGGTTACCAAGCTTCTGAAGGACGCTTTCAAGGCCATGGAAAACTTGCCCGACCTGGAAATCGGCTCGCAAATATTCCCAGCAACGCAGCGTGAGTTGACGGCTGAAGAGGTGCAGGTGCTGCGAGCAACGTATCAAACAAACAATGGTCTTCGCGGCTACTTACTTCGAAGTGTGGCGGAGTGCTTGTACACGGTCAAGGACGTTGCAACGAAGACGCGACCCCCGCAAGACCCCGATTCCATCAGAAAACGGTGCGATGAAAGATTTACGGAACTTTGCATGCTGGAACGACCCGGACGTATGCGGTTGAAACCGAGCGAAAGGTTCCAGCTTATGCATCAGGCCATGTGTGAGGAGAACGAGGCGTCTCTTGGGCCGGCGGATGATTGGGTAGAGGAGTTCGACGCTTACCTCCACACACTACCCCCTGCTTGGATTAAGTTTCGCACACGCCGAACCGAACTGGGCATAGACCTTGAAGTGGGCAAGATCGAAGATATTCAGTTCTTACCGTCCACGCTAGCCCTACTGCCAGCCGCGAATTCTCAACACCTTCGTTCGTTCGGGGTCGTATGCTGGAACCCCTGCTCCCCAAGAGAGTACGATGCAGTGTGGCAATCGGTCGCTAAGGATAGCCTTTCAGAAAAGCTACCAAAAAAAATCGTACCCCTCATCTCCTTCGATCCTCCTGGGCCAGGCTTCAGAACCTTGCCGGAGTTGAGCGACGAAGGGTATTTCAAGATCGCTGATGTGGTGGTACAGGCTGACCACTAGGCTGGCACCAGCCTCACCCCATTTTCTTTTAACCTCAAACTCTCGTCGCCCAGCCGGTACGCCCTACCCTAATTGTTCCCGCACACCACGCGCCTACGTTGCCGACTCTGGGCGTCTTGGTCGGGCAGCCTCCCTCCACAATGACACCCTCTGTGCCACAACCACCATCATTACCCGGCGGCGTCTCCCAAGTGTGCCGCAGTGCTTGTACACACACTGCATCTGATTGGAACCTATGATCCCCGAACTAGACCGATCTTGAAGTGGACAAGATGACCTTTCCTTGAACCCCCCCCCCCCATGTACGCGCTCACCCG